GTCTAGCAGCTTGTGAGACAAATAAGATAAAAAAAATCACATGTCCTTTTGGGAAAAAAAACTAATATCACATGAATGTGGCCCGTCCTGAAGGCTGTACGGCTCTCTGAGGGATTTAGTGATCATGACGTCATGACATCCTCATCATCGTGAGCTACGGCACTCAGTGACATAGAAATATGGATTATACTCTCTTGTCTCCATCTGTCAGAGAAAATCCTGCTGGATTTGGACTATTTTTTGAGCCAGAGAGAAAGCGATAAAATGAGTTTGAGACATTCGCAACGAGTTTAACTTCCATAATGTGACATATTTCTGCATGAAAAAGAATGTTTAGCAAGAAGTAATGGGATGGGATCGTTTGGGATTTGATTGGATGGGGAAATTGGGCCAGGCTTCACTAGTCGTGCATCATGAAAAGTACATTTCTATTATGTCCTTCATTCTTTTATGAGATGTGAGTGAGAAACAGGAACAAGTATTTCAAGGCGTTTTAAACTGGAAACAAGTTTATCAACGTGTTTGTTCTCAGTTCAAGTATCCTGGATGAATTGAATGTAAAAAGGAATCTAGTTAATGACAGTAATTGTGGTCACCCAGGAATGAAGCATCATTAAAGAATAAAGCTTATTTGTCCTTCTGTATTGTTATTGATTTTATTGCATGCAGTTTGTTTGCTAATAAATCACTTAGTCAGGAATCTCTACTCAATGAATCTCAAGATTCTGGTTCATAATTGCATTTGGATCATTCCAAACTGCACTTTTCCTCTGTCACTCTCTGCATTAGAGCATAGTCATCTTTTATTGTGTATTATCAAGATGAAAGGTTATTGAGCGTATGGATGGTGTTTTATTCCTGCAGGAAGCTTGTGTTTCAGATGGAGTCACATTAAAACCTGTTTGAAATGCTGGAGGTGTGTTGGCCTCTTTCGGTTAAGTGTCTGGATTGAGCATCTAAATTGATGGCCTCTAGTATATTTTGCTGTATGAATATTTGAATATGCAATACACCAAAATAAAGATCAGAGCCTCTACTTTTAAACAAAAAAAATCAATTTTATTCTAGCTTAAATCATTATTTTTTATCAACAGTTGAATATAGGTAGGTTTCATAAAAATGCATAATTTTGAGCAAAAAGGTGACAAAATCACATTTTTTATCTAAAACTACATCTGGATAATATTCAGTACGATTATGAAAGCATAAATCTAGTAAATCGCTTCCATCAACACCTCCAAAGCTTGCACAGACATATACCACTTCCTGGATTAACATTTTACTCTGTAACATTATGCAGTTTTCATTTATATGCTGTCTATTGCTGATGATCGCATTATTTTTCATATGCATCTGTTTACATTAGAGATTGCTCGTTTCTCCGTCCTGTTCACGTGTGTTTTTTGTTCGGGAGGTTTTGTACTCGTTCAGAAGATGTGTAATAGCGCCCTCGAGTGTATGACACTGAAAACACGAAAAACAGTAAAAACTCGTCTTTGGCGGGGAAGCGTTTTCTTCTAAAAGACGAGATAACTCGTCAATGGCGGGGAAAGAGTTAATATTACTATTATTGTTACTTGTGGGATTATTTTTTTGTATTTGCATTTTAAGGGCATTTTTAGTTTTTAAGCTTTTTTTGGTAACACTTTACTTGAAGGGGTGTGCATAAGACTAACATGACACCTTCATAATCATGACATGACACATGTCATGAATATGAAGGAGGTTGTATGCATGTTTATGACAACTGTCATTAAGTGTCATTCGCTCAGTTATGTAATTTTGAATGCAAAGATGACATTGTTTGAGATGTATTTGTTATGGGCTATGGTTAGGGGTAAGGGTAGGGGTAGGGTTAGGTTAGGGTTAGGTCAAATAATGTCATATTTGCATTAAAAATGACATAACTGAGCGAATGACACTTAATGACAGTTGTCATAAACATGCATAAAAAACCTTCATATTCATGGCATGTGTCATGTCTTGATTATGTAGGTGTCATGTCATGATTATGAAGGTGTCATGTCAGTCTTATGCACACCCCTTCAAGTAAAGTGTAACCCTTTTTTTTTATTTGTAACAAATACCTTTTAATATGTTATCCAAACAATTTGTGAATTAAGTTTTCCTGTGAGTATAGTTGTTGGATACGTGAATATTGGTGAAATGAAATATTGGTCAAAAACGATTATCGGTTTTAACGGTTATTGTATGTTGAGCTGTTTTTCTTCAAAACAGCAAGACAATGTTTGTTTTCCATGTCCTGATCCCATTATTGTCTGTAAGATTTTGTTATTCCCATAAAGCTTGTTTTACCTAGCTGTCTTGCAGCTTGAAAGATTTAAATTTAAATGATTTTAAGGCTGTTTGCATAATTGATAATCTTTTATTGTGTATTATCAAGATGAAAGGTTATTGAGCGTATGGATGGTGTTTTATTCCTGCAGGAAGCTTGTGTTTCAGATGGAGTCACATTAAAACCTGTTTGAAATGCTGGAGGTGTGTTGGCCTCTTTCGGTTAAGTGTCTGGATTGAGCGTCTAAATGGGCGTTGTGCCTATTAGCAGTGGCGGCTCGTGGGTTTTAAAATAGAGGAGGCACACTAATTGTATTGGTCTGGGATCCCTGCCGATTATTATTATTATTATTATTATTATTTGCTTAACCACTTTAAAATGGCTTTTTTGTTGCTTTTAGTCAGAAAACGTAAAGAAAACGACACATACAGCAAGATAATATAATTTCACTTACCTGGCCTATCACTTGAAGCAAACATCCATCCCTTCTTAAAAGTCTGTGTTAAAAGAGAGCTGCCTGTTGTGCCATTTAATTAAGCCGACTACTGTAGCCTATATCCAGCTTAGGCTGTTTTCTCTTTTTTTAATTTGTATATATACGGTTTGAATGACAGCTTGGTAAATCTGTATGCGATCAAATATTCAATATTGCTACTCATAAGTACTTGGTACATTATCAGTGCAGCGGCAGACGTTCAAACTAATATCACGTAATTTACATCTCCGTGATGATTGGTTGATATCAGAAAGAGGCTAGCCTCCCTTGCAAAGTTTCTTTTCTCAACGCTCCTCAGCACTGAAAGTGAACACTCGATGCTGATTGGCTAATTTTTTTTTTACCAACGGAGGCACGAGAGCTCAGCTCTCGCCCGGCCTCACCCTACCCTTCTCCATCCCCTAGCGGTTGTAATTATGTCAGCCGATTCGGCACATTCGCGATAGAAAAGCGGCGCTTTCCAACTTCATTAACATGTTATGGTATTACATCTGTAAAATTACAAAAAATACACATTCTGAGACATGAACTGAAATGAATTGTGAATTTTATTAACATTAAATCGTCCTCCTCCCATTTTCACCTAAAAATTTTGGGGAAGCTGTGTCTCCCCCGACGAGCCGCCACTGCCTATTAGTTCATCATAATTTATTCTACTCTACTCTACTCTACTCTATTCGTTTCGTTTCGTACAGAAGAAAAGATTGATAAATGCTTAATACACCTTAAATTGTGTGTCAGAAAACTTCAAATTCATCTTGAGAAAAATAAATCTTGATTTTGGTTCTTATTTACTTATAAGTACTTATAATTACTCTTAATTATAAATAAATAGAATATTCACACACACACACACACACACACATAAATATATATATACAGTGGGTACGGAAAGTATTCAGACCCCCTTAAATTTGTATGTTTAACAATGCATATGTCTGATCCATACTAGATGAACAAATGTCTGATACATACTACATAAACTTTCACAGCAGATTTCGGTCACTCATTTCACAAACAAAGATATTTTATACTTAACATGCTTTAGCTGAAATTATTTATATATATATATAGATATATATATATATAAAAATTGTTATATTTTTAAGTACTTGCTTTTAAGTTTCATATTTTTGTGTAGAAAATAATCTTGAGTGAAGTTTTATTCAGATTCAAAACATTTTGAAAATAAACATCAAAAATACACAAATTTTGTATTATATATATATATATATATATTTTTATTTATTTTATATATCATAGTTTAGTATTTTTCTAAATGCCAGCATTCAAGTGTCATATTTTGTGTGTAGAAAATCTTGTGTGAAATTATTCAGATTCAAAACATTTTGAAAATAAACATTTATATAATAACATTTATATAATTCCTATAATATTGTTTTATGTTTGTCTGAACTTTCAGTTACATCAAAAAATTGAAATATATATGTAATATATATATTAGGGCTGCACGATAGATCACATGCGATATTTAATGCGCATCTTGTCAGAAAGCCGGTTCTGTAAACAGCGGTAAATCTCCATCACCTGCGTGCTGTCACATTGAGCAGCATTAACTACACAGAGCCGTTGTTCACTGACGAGCTGCGCCAAACCACGTTCATATTCGCGCGATTTTTTGACCTCAGTTATCGTGAAAAAAGCCTGGAAATTTCAGTTTTGACAATATGGGACCTTTAAATATATACATGCATGTGTGTGTATTTATATATACATAGTAAATATGCACAGAAATGTATGAAGAAAATTTATGGAGAAATTTTATGTTATACTATAATATTGTTTTTATTTTTATTTTTTATAAATACAAGTTGTGTATTTTTATTTGTAGAATAATTTCTGGTTTGAAATAAAGACATCAGGAAGGGGGCCAACACTTTTTCACACCACTGTATATGATAAATTTGTATATATAATGTGTATGAAATACAAAACTAAAATATATTTATACAGTTTTTTACTTATTTTAGTGTTATATAAGCTATATATACAATTTATATTTTATATATTATGGAACATTATTATTTTGTATAAAGATATTTTATTTTTTGAAAGTAGTAATTATTGTATTATTTAATAATCACATTATATATATATTTATATAATATAAATACTAAAAACTAATATAAATTTCTCTGCTTTATTGTAATGTTCTAGCTAATATGTATATCATATTCTGTTGTGCAGATCTGAAGAAGACTCTAGCTGTTCTTCTGGATAATATAATGCAGAGATTATCAAAGCTGGAGTCTAAAGTGGACAATATCATGTACAACGGCACCAGTAGCAACCTGACCAACGGAACTGGGACCCCTGGACCGAACCCTGTCAACCCAGAGAAAGTCAACGTGGCAGGTACAGATGCTCTTTCTCGTATTGAAGTATTTTCTGGTAATCTTTCTCCTCGACTGCCCCCATTTCCAAAGTCCACGGCCCTCCGCAGACCTCCGAGTAAACACAGCACTCTTTACACATCACGGCACACACTCTCATATGCATCACACACACACACACATACATGGTTTTCTTTCACAGCTCCTGCCTTCTTTATTGGATCCCATTGATTTTCCTTCAGCTCCAAGATGATTAACGACCGTGGGAGAAAACTAACTATTTGTAGTTTCACCAAGTATTTGTTAGAAAAAATGGCTTGGCTGTGTTATGAGTGGGAGCTTTGTAGTCAAACGGGATATTTATTGTCAAATACTGTTTGAATTGTTCATGGAAAGTGGAAACATAAACTGCTTTTCATTGACGTGAGGTTCTCTGCTGAGGCGGTTTTTGTGGTTGACAGTTATGTTTATTGATTTTTACTGTGTTTATACTGTAGCGTTGTTTCAGGTTGTAGTGACGAAACCAAGAGTTAATGTAGCTTGTCACTAAAGCAAAGTTTGACTTGGCAACATTGAAGTTTGATGCTAAACTCTATGCGTGTGTGTGTTCTGTACGCACTGTGCCATCTGAGAGATGGCAGTTTTTAATCGAAGTTATGGTCTTTTGCCTTTGCACGGCAGAATAGTCCAGCCTGGACAGAACAAGATATTTACCACAGTAATACAACATTTTCTTGTACAACCATGTTTTTGTTTTTTTGGATATGTACATTAGAATTATGTTTCTATGCATTTACCATAGTAGTATCAAGTTTTTTTGGGTTTTTTGGTACATGTACAGTTACAATGCAGTGGCTTTGAATATTTACCACAGTAATACTTTGTTTTTTGGATATGTTCACAGGAAATACTGCGTTTTTTTTTAAACAATTACCACAGTAGTATTGTTTTTTTTTTTGGCATGTACTATTGTAATATGTTGGTTTTGGACATTTACCATGGTGATACCATATTTTTACAATGGTATTCTCAGAAGTGCCACATAAAACATGGTAATCATTCAGTTCCATGCTTATGTTAAAATACCATAGTATTACCATCTGATGCCATCACTGTAACGTGGTTCGTCCTCAGTGCGTTTTTGTAAAGGTTGTATGTGTGTGATTTCTCTGTCACCGGACTTGATGTGTGTGCGGATGTACTGGACTTGATGTGTGTGTGGATGTACTGGACTTGATGTGCGGATGTAATCATCGTCTCTGACTCACTGTGCTTAATATAGGCCAACCCCCCGTTGAGTCATGTGGGGCTTGACAGCGGCTGGATATCGCTAACCCTCTCTCTCTCCGACTGTTTTTTTTGACAGACCCGCTGTGATGACAGTTCTGGTGACGACCTTTTGTTTATATCTCAAACCTAGCTAAATTACTTTAAAAGATGCATTACGTTTCAAAGGCAGGTTAAAATTACAGTATGTGATGGATATGGTGTGTTATTATGGCATTAGATTGTGTAACACTCACCGTTCGTCAATGCTAACTTGATTTGCGAAGATTGTGCACAGCGTAAATAATTTAGCTCTTTTTTTTCCACCATTGTAAGCAGTACTTGATACGTCAAGCATCACTATAATACCAAGGTTGCTAAAGGAACATTTGTCATTTTCATTTAGTTTAACTTGATTTACTAAAATAATTCAAATAAAACATGTAAATTAGAAAATAGACATGCAATATAATAAATAGACATGAAAAAAACGAATACAAATGACGACAAAAACCTTTAGCAACTGCTTAGCAATGTGCTAAAACCATCAAGAACACGCTAGCAGCTGCAAACCACCTAGAAAACCTTTAGCAACCACTTAGCAATGCGCTAAAACCATCAAGAACACGCTAGCAGATGCAAATCAACATGTTAAAATAAGCCAGAAGACGCAGGCAGCTGCTTAACAAACACGTTAAAACCACCCGGAAAACCTTTTACAACCGCTTAACATTGCATTATAACCAAGAACATGTTAGCAGATGCAAAAACAACGCGCTAAAATAAGCTAGAAGATGGTAGCAACCACTTAACACATTAAAACCACCTGGAAAACCTTTAGCAACCACTTAACAATGTGCTAAAACCATCTAGAAGATGCTATTTTTATAGCATCGAGTTTTGCAGTGTGTTAAAATGTTGAAATGTCGTTTAAGTCTCTGTTTGCTTAACAGACACAGTCAACATGCTGTAGAAGTCTTTGAGAACTCAAACCAACATTTTAAATTGTAAGTCATAGTTCAGGATGACAGCAGCTCGGATCTTTACACGCAGTCCCAAGCTCTCCAAAGCACTATTATTCCCTGATGAGTGACTGAGTGGGCCTGGCAGCTAGCAAAGAAAAGCAAGAAAGGTCCTGCTTCTCAGAGCTATCAAACGACTCTTTATAGTCCGTCAACATGATGACAAATCTAAGTAATACCGTCTGAGAGGGCCGCACAAAGACTCATTGTGGTCTTCATGTTGGAACTGTAAACTGGCGAGTATACGTGTGAACTCATCCGACAACATTCTCCTTCTGCTCGTTCTTGCTGAGTTCCTCTCAGTGGGTGCATTTGATGTTTGAAGAAACAAATATTTCGAAGAAATGGAAGGGCGTTTTGTTCATAGGTCACCTGCTGTTAACCTCAAAAGTGTTTTGTTTCCCAGCAGTGTCAGAATACGTCTCTTTGTTGCAGTTTGAAAGTTGCTTCTCTCAGTCGACAACCAATATACGATTGAATTCGTCTTCTGATTGGCCCAAAGTTGTTTATTAGAAGATCTGAGAGTCTATTTGTTGAGTTTGTTTTGGAAGCAAATGACCTCAATGTTCCAGCAGCCAGTTAGCTTTGCTGTTTTTCGTAAACGCATATTGATGTTAGTCACAACAAATTGAATCTTGTAGCTAGCACAAAGAGGGATACAAAATATTGTAATTTGTAACGTAAAAATATCAGCTACCTACATTTAAAGAACCATGTTATTTTTCTGGATATTCAGCTAACTATTTGCTTTGTTTATATTGTCTTCATTATTGTTTTTAAAATGTGAGCGCTGTCCTTTTTCTTGTTTAGGATTCTCATTGTTTTCTCAATTAGATTTAATCAGAATTGAATTAGCATCTAACATTTGCGCCAATAAATTCATCCATTTAAAGCATAAGTAGTCATAAACGTATGGTAGAAAATTTTATTTTCAGAAGATCAATGTCGAAAGATCAATGTAAGCTAGCTACACTTTGTTTGTTGTTGAGTTCTTGGACCTTGTTGTTTTTTCAATCTGACCATAAAGTATTTTTCCAAGTTCATTGCCATCATTTTTAACAATGATAAATTAACGTTAATAATAGGGATGCACCGAATGTTCGGCAACCGAAATGATTCAGCCGAAAATAGCAAAAAAAACACTTTCGTGTTTGGCCGAATAAGCGAAAAGACCGAATAAATTGTACCGAACTGACGTGACGCAATCAAATAGAGGCACGCGCTAATGCAGCAAACAAGACGGCAGTGTGGAAACATTTAAAGCTGTCCGAGAAAGACGCAAAAAATCATTACAAGCACTGACAGCGAGTTTGTTTAGTACTGCATGCATCGCATGTCTTCGATGAGAAGAGGAAGGGGGGTTGTTGCTGGTTACTGTATGATGTTTGAAATCGCGGAATGCCCTTGAACAATTAAATAAACTGCAGAATGTTATGCTTTCTAATACACACACGAATTGCATGTATTCAAACAGCACTGCACGACCTCGTGGCGGCAGGGTTCAAAGTCCAAAGCGCGAGGAAAATCTGCACTGAAACAGTGTTACTCGTCAGCTGCTCAGTAACATTTTTATGAATTTTTACAAGGCATGTGACATGCCTTGTAAATGCATGAGGTCTGAGGTCTTCATGCGGGTTTCTGCCAAAATAAAAGCTGAGAAAGAGCAAGAACTCCATCAACATGAATAAATGTTACTATTGTAATTTTACTGTTGTTCTGTAAAAGAAAATAATAATGACAATAATAATTACAACAGCTCTATTAACACATTTATTGTAACATTTACACACAGTGTTCAGACTGGGATCTATAATGTTTTCTAATGTTTTAACATAAGTCTCTTCTGCTCAGCAAGGCTGCTTTTATTTGTATGGTAAAAAAATACATGCCTGATTCAAGAAGGGGGTCCAAAAAATGGCCAAAAAATATTATTTTACTAACTTGTTAATTTTAAGTTAAGTTGTGTTTTATTGGTATAATGTCTGCTAGAATGTAAAAAAATGTTCAGTGTTAAGTAAATATTTTTAAATTGTTGTTTTGTAAATTATTTTTTTCTTTGAAAAGCAAGACAAAACAGTAAAAAGCACATTTTGGCTATTTAACTTATGCAGTGGTTAAAAAAATTGGCAAAATGGGGAAACATTTTTTAAAAACCGTGTTCGGTATTCGGCTTTCGGCTCAGTGTTTCATTTTGTTCGGCTTCGGACAAAAATTTTCATTTCGGTGCATCCATAGTTAATAAGGCATAGCCACCAGAAACGACAACTTCTTTCCAACATAAAGAAGAGTAGAAAATATCAGATGTTTCAGCATATGAAGATCCATGTAAGTAACATGTCGGCTAGGTATATTTTAAGAGGTTCGTTGAGTATTTTTCCATAAAGTTTAAAATACTTGGATGACGATTGAATTTTTTTTTAAATAATCAAATCTTAAGCATCATAAACACTGAGATATAAATGCTGTTGCCCAACAAACAACCTAGCAACACTGTCTTAACCAAATTCCTGAGTCTCAGTTTGGTGGGAATGTTATATTTGTTTGGAAAAAATGGGAATGACGCTAGTGCTTGCTCAAAAATGACACACCTAACATGTGTAATATGCTAATGTTTGGTCCTTTGGTAAATTATTCCTATTGTCTTCACTCTTAGGATAACATCAGACCTGGATTGACATTATCTCACGTGTGCGTCTGCGGATCCACCAGATTAAAACCACTGAACCGTTGCCCG